CTCTCTCTCTCCTCTCTCTCTCTCTCTCTCTCTCTCTTCTCTCGCTCTCTCTCTCTCTGCTCCTCTCTCTCTCTCTCACTCTCTCTCTCTCTCTCTCCCCCTCTCTCTCTCTCTCACTCTCTCTCATCTCTCTCTCTCTCTCGCTCGCTCTCTCTCTACTCTTCTCTTCACAACGCACGATTAACTCCTCCTCCACGTTTAATCCCCTTCCTCCTCCTCGCCCCACAGCCTTTTCCTAATACCTTCTTACCTCCTTCATTGCCCTCACTCTTTCTTTCATTCTGTATCTGTCTATTGTCCTCTTGCCCTTTTCTCTCTTCCCCTTCTCCCCTTCTCTAATTCACCCGTCCCCTCTCTCTACCTCTCCCCCTATTTCTCTTACCTCTGAATCTCTTGTTCATCCTCTCCTTCTCGCGATCGCGTCTCGCCTCGCTCTCTCTCGCAGAGCTGCGATATAATTTCAGTAGGCGCGATAATTCAGTGTGCAGTCGAGCGTGGAGCCACGCGGCAGCAGCAGTAATAGTAGCAGCAGCAGTAGCAGCGGTGGCAGTTACCTAGCAGCAGCAGCAGCAGCAGCAGTAGCAGCACCAAACCAGAGCACTTATATCTTAGTTGATATAAGTGCTCTGCACTTATGCACAAACTGCATGCAGCATACCCCCTTCCCACACTCAGGATATACCACTGCCACAATGCTAGCACTATTTTACAGGTGGGCGGAGCTCCGGGAAATTCAAGCAAATGCAAGCCAACGGCCGCGAAGTCGCCGCTGAACAAAACTGAGAGAAATTTTCTATGATTTTTCATGTTTGTGGTGGACAAATTTGATGCTTTTAAGTCTGAAAAATGTATCAAAGAAAATGTTCGAGAATTAGGTATTATTGGCAAGCATCCCGAAAATTCATGATAAATACGTGAACTTAGTTTAGTAAACAGCGTAATGATTTGAAAGTAGAAATAGGCGCACTATTCGCTATCACTATTTTATCAAATTTCTCATGAAATAATTGCGTCGACTTTTATTATCTTTGGCAGCTTATATAAGTACACACCGTTGCATAGCGACAGGAGTAACGGGGTCGCTGTAAATTATAGCTAAGTAAAAAGACGTAAGAAATTCTTACGGAAATCAGCTCTGTGCAGTGATAGAGATGAGCCAGAGCGAGAGCGCCATCTGTCGTGGAGTTTGTAGCAGCACTAGCAGCAGTGAATGCCAGTGATCATCGATTAATATGGCTGCGCCCATGAAGTTGAACTCAACATATGACTCAACTCTTGAGTCGATAAAAAACATGCATTTAACTTTAGCTTGATGATAGTTTAAATAACTTAAGTCATGACTTCATCAGGGTGATAGATGTGAGGGCATGTCAGAGATGAGAGATCTGTTATATACGGCTCAACCCGATAATGTGCGTCATATACTGACCAACGCAACGCGCCACAAGAAGAAGTTCAAGACGGAGAGCGGGATGAATTTTATTTTGAATCTGATCACTTAGCTTTAAAAACTAACAAGGATTATCAGACAATGCTCAGAGCTATTGGTACGTTTTGTCATGTTGTGTTAGTTTAGACTAACCTGTGCCTTGCGGTCAAAATTGTTTAGGTTGACTGTTGTAATACGTCAATATTGACAATAATTAATAATACGTACCGTACCATCACTGGCAGCAAGAACAAGCTGCAACAAGATGGTGCCCAACTCGCCGCGCAGTTTCCACAACTCACCGTTTCAATCAGTTGCAACTCGGTGTTCCTGCAGTGACTGCCACTTTCCAACTATCGTTGGAATTGCGGAAGACTGTTGAACAAGTTACACCCGCTATTTTTGACAATTGGCCTGCCAGAATGCGCTCAAATCACAGAAATTTCTCAAATATACATGCCAAAGATCACCGCGGATGCTACCAGGCAAACGGGCGCTGCGCTGATTGGCTGCAGCAAGTTTAATGGTGAGACAAGGCCGGCCGTGGTGAGTCATGGCCAATCAGCGCAGCCGCCAGCGATTGGGCATGCCATGCGCCCGTTTGCCTGGCGTAGCATCCGAAGAATCATTTCGGCAGTATATTGAGGAATTTCTGTGATTTGAGCGCATTCTGCGGGGCCGATTGCCAAAAATGGCGGGTGTAACTTGTTCAGCAGTCTTCCGCCCCGATTCAACAATAGTGTTACGTGGCATCACCTGCAGAACACTGGAGTTCATGGCCGCAACCACTAGGTCACGACCCCCCCCCCGACTTTTAGTGGACTCCCCAACTTCTGGAGACCTTATTTTCTGGAGAGTCCAAAATAGTCGATAAGCGTTTATTATCGTAAAACATCCATATTCACCAGTGAAAGTTAAAATAAATAAAAACCCCAGGAGGGTCCAAGTGCAGTGTGATAACCGTGATTCAGATGCAGATATCTAAATAGACCCTTGTTTAATGTTAATATCATTTAGATTCGACCAACATAGTACATTCAATCTCACGTTATTGAACGAGCAGGAAATTCACCACGCGTTCGCAAGCCAACCGTGTCTATAAGCTCTACGCTGCGTTTGTGTTATAGACACTAAAAAAAGGCCCATCTCCACCACAAGCGCACGTCCACGGCGCGACACGTTCACCCCTACCGGCAAGTTACAAACTATTACATCTATGGCGCAGTCTCCATTGACACGGCACGGCGCCAGCCCGGTTTCACGGCGAGCCGCAAAGTCAATGATTGCTTTTTGCCGGCTGACGTGACAGCGAAAAAGCAAATATGAACCAATCAACGCGATTGTTTGTTTATCACGTGTTCTGGAATCGATATGAAGCAATTGCAAAGGATTTTATTGGAAAGTGTGACTCAAGGAAGGTCACATTGGTTCTAACACTGTCTCTGTTTTCACTTGTCAGACATTTTTTGCTTATTATTTCATCGTTATTATTTTCCTCTTCATCTAATCATGCCTAACTGTGTCACACAGTTAGCACAGTCTGTGTGTAGCTTTACTACTAGCTTAATCTAATATAAAAACATTTTGGTATTTTAGTATACATGATCCTAGTAATGTCATTCATGACATCACAATTATGCAACACTTCCTCATCAACACACGAAATACGTGATATTGAACCATACGTGATATTCGCTTGCCGCAGATCATGTTGCTATTGGACTGCTTGGGACCCCCCCAACTTTCAACACATGGTGCGCCCTTGCCAGAGTTGCAGGGTTCTCCCTACGTTGCGCAAACGGGGCACGCGCACCCCGTTGGAAACTCCCCCTGTTTCAATCGTTGCGCCCCCGTTTAAATTACCTCCGCCCCGACTTAAATTCCACCACAACAAAAGTTTGACAGCGCCGGAATCGATCGTCAAGAATCCCAATCGACCAGGACGCACGGGCGCGCGTGTATTTTTACCGTACACGCATGCACTCCAGACCATACACAAGTACAAACAGTTAACCTGTCGCCGAACCAACACTAACTGTACCACAGACTCGGCTATCTTATATATACAAGACCCCAAATACCGTCTATGGGTGGTGGCGATTTCATGCCTTAATTAGTGGTACGGAAAAAACACGCCCCCGGACCCCTAGTTTCCCGCTCCTCCCCCCATCTCCCCTTCCCCTTCCCCTCCCTCCCCCTGTTTCAATTTCATCCTGGGAGAACCCTGAGTATGTAACTGATTGAAAACAGTGAGTTGTGGAAACTGCGGCGGCGAGTTGGGCACCATGTTGTTATTATAGTCAATGGCCGCGTGTGTGCTGTACGTGCGGGCTTGTTCTTGCTGCCAGTGCGTACCATACGATCATTCATGCCATCATCCAGATAAAATTCCTTGCAATAGTTTCCACGTACTAATCCGGCGTAGCTGTTACGAGGAAACGGTAAATGTGCTCCGCGGCCTAATGCTAGTTTAGCACCCCGGATTAGTTTAGCACAAATGAGAAAACACATTTGCGGGGGTCTCAAACAAGGATTGTGCATGCTACACACTATAGCTCTAGTAGTAGTACTATAGCCCATGTTCGCCACAGGTGAAGTGCGCCTGTGGCGAACAAGGGCTATAGTTACGCAGCCTGTAGTACTAGAGTTAGCTCTGCTCTTGCAGTGCTTTTGGAAGCCCAGCGCATTCAGGCCATAAAGGACCACGAGACCCTGGTGCAGCGGAGGGACGAGGCGCTGGAGGATCCCGTCGGCTTTGTGGCTAGGCTGCAGCGACGAGAAGAGCTCCACCTGCCGAGGCGACAGCGCGTGACGGAGCTGCCGCACATAGCGTGGGAGAAGTACTCGAGTCCTCTCTCCGACGGCTTCAACGTCAGGTATCACATGACGAGGAGAGGCCGGCAGCCCGAATCTACCGCTTCCACTCCAGGTAACTTCTCGCACCCGTCTTGTGTCGAATTGCGCGCTTTGCTATAAAAAAAATCCCATCCGCTTATCGTGTGGATCACAGGCACTTGGAACGTCTCAATTAAACAAAGTAATGGTAAATAAACACGAAATGTATATACTACCAAAGTCTTAATGTTTCTCTGCTATCTTACACTTATTATTGCCGATAACTTCCTGTAAATGCCGTTCAAATTCTCCTCTGCAACACATGACTACACCGCCGCAAGCCGCTGTGCACAAACAACACATAATATAGCAGGTAGGAAAGCGTGATGCCAAAATTCGCTCGATACGCGCTTGATTTCACAAAGTAATGAGAACAAATACTCAACCAATCTACTCCATCTTTGTTTCTACTTGAAGGCCAGTGTTCACTTGTTTGAATTATAACTGTCTTTGTTATTACCAACTCCAGCCAGAGATATCTCGTGAAATCCTGCAGGAAATGTTCTCTTCGCGTATTTGTAAATGGGACAAGATGCCTGTTTATATACGAGTAATGGCGGTTCATTGCATGCCAGGATGAGCTGCTGCATGCCTCCGATCTCCATTTCAAGGCCCGCTAAGCCAAGCATAATGCGCGCAGGCGGGATGTCACACAAACAGCTACGTTCATTGGTTAAAACAATCGAGTAGCGCAGTTAGGGATTTTCGGATGACAAACAGACACTCGCTCCCATTTACAAAACCGCTGAGTGGGAATTTTGGGAATGATTTCACGAGATATCTCTGGCTGGAGTAGGTAAGAACAAAAGAGAGAGTTATAATTCGAACAAGTGAACACTGATCTTCAAATAGCAACAAAGATGGAGTAGATTGGTTGAGTATTTGTTCTGTAATCATGTGAAATCAAGCGCGCGTCGAGCGAATTTTGGCATCACGCTTTCCTACATGCTATATTATGTGTTGTTTGTGCACAGCAGCATGCGTGCGGTGTAGTCGTGTGTTGCAGAGGAGCATTTGAACGGCATTTACAGGAAGTTATCAGCAATAATAGGCGAAAGAGAGAAACAATAAGACTGGTAGTAAATACATTTCGTGTTTATTTACCATTGCCGTGCATTTACCTATTTACGCCTGTGGTGTGGATGGTTGTATTCCCGCGATACGTGAAATCGTAAGCACAAAGCCAGATTCCTGTGCTCATTTAGGATTAATGGATAAAAGAAAGATCCATATTCTTAAAATTTATTCTATTTTACATCTTGTGCAAACATGGGAGCAGCCAGAAACACAGTTATACTCCATATGTTCAAGTATGTTTTCATGTTACTGCTGATTGCAGTCGATGAAAGCACAACGAAGCAGGATGGAAGCCTGCAAGGCATTGAGGATGAGCGCGATGCAATGGGTCATGTGGTACGTGGACGAGTAATGAAGGATAACAAGCCACAAACCTTCAATCAACTCTGGACAACAGAAGAACAGCGCAGGTTCGGCACCGATTAGCATGCATGACTACAGCTGGCGTTCGCCACACTCGCACAATGGGATAAATAAATAACAGTGGCGATTTTACTACAATAAGTGGCGAATACAATTGGCAAATGATTTAACTGCTCAGAAAATTACGATTGACTAATGAAAATCTTAAACTCGCAGTGTCGTGTCATAAAATGATTTCGTACACTTCTTTTCTGATACCCATCACCTGTTTATGCCTTGCTTAGCACAAACGATAAAGTGAACAGTGGTTATATTCTTTTAATGGTGGCAAAAAATAACTGGTGGCTCAAGTCTTGGCTCAAACTTTAAAACATTCAGAGGGATCCCTGGGCATGGATCGTTGAAGTAGACGTTTAGGAAACCAAACACGTAGATGTTTCTGCATGTGCTTGAATTTGTAAACGACCCCTTGATCTCTCATTGAGTTTTTTTTTTGCAAACAGTACAGTCAAACTTCGTTACTACATACCCTGTTTATAACGTTTACACTGCTACAACGCACACATCTCCAAGTCCCGAATTTGTGTAATGCATTATTCCATTTGCCAGTATCGTCTACAACATACACCTTTGTAACGTAAACTACAATATACAACGTTCAAATTTTCACTGGAAAAATGCATACTAGCCTTCGTTACAATTACGACAGGAAACCTTGCAGTACAGTTTGCCAGTAAAGTGACAAAGCAGACGAAGATTACTACCTTTTTCAAGTTGTAAGTAAACGAACAGATTCAGTGGCAGCATCAACATTTAAACTCATCCATGACATTGGCGAAATTAACGCGGGCTCTTTCATTTCTTTGAGTGCAAATAACGGGAACAAAAGACTGGTGTCTTCAATACATTGTTTTATTTTACTCTAAATTTACAAATTTGTTACAGGCACTATCATTAAACTTTCATGTTTTAATTCTTGCATATCGTTCATTTTATGGGAATTGGTTACAACGAACTATCGTTATAACGTACCGATTCTTAAGGTCCCTGGAAGTACTTTGTAACGAAGTTCGACTGTACAACATAGTTTAAAATAGTAGGTGATATCTCTCCCTGCAGATTAGAAGAACTACTGATTACTTATCCACCAGAGGAAGTAGAGGCAAGAAGGTGGCAAAAGATAGCCAAAGCACTTGGCAACCGCACATCGCAACAGGTAAAACAATGTAAAATAGTGGTTTGCGGTAATAGCTAATGTTTTTCACTGTAAATTTAATATTCACTGATACTACAGTATTTGATACGCACTTCGTATCTATTATCCATTAAAAAATGATAAGGATTATTTATTAATTGTATATCTCTGTAATGTTACTTACAATAGCAAAAAACTTCATACAGTTTAGTAATCAGTTTATTAATTTTTTCAGGTGGCAAGTCGGGTTCAAAAGTACTTTATAAAGTTGGCAAGAGCTGGCCTACCGATCCCAGGAAGAACACCAAACCTTGCATGTCATGTTGTGAAAAGGGTAGGTCATGATATTGCACACTGTGGTGACGATACCTCACCATTCTTATTCCCCAAGTACTTATTACAAATTTTAGGCATGAGAACTACAGGACGTCTTGGTTTACGTAGTCTAGTTAGTGTATATTTAATACAGGATGGTACTATTTCTCATAATGATGTATATCAAGTACTACGTACATATAGTTACTCGTTATGCGATGCAGACTGTACATCTACAATACATAGTGTATTTAACCATAATTACTCATGTGATGCGGTACAGTTACATTACGTAGTATATTAACCATAGTAACTCGTTGTTCGCCGCAGCCGAGGCCAGCACTTTGTGGATCGCGTTACTGCTATCCGTAACTCGTTACAGTTTGGCATGGGCGCGCGATCTGCGAGAAGCGCGTACCCCTACTGCAACTCGACGTTCCTTGCGAGCTACTCGGCTCCCGTCTTCATGCCGGACGAGGACGACTTGTCGAGCATGGGCGACAGCGTCGAGGCGTGGGGTTCCCGCGGCGACAGCGACGACAACGCAGACGAGGATCCGCCCCCGCCTGTAGGTATTCTATTCATCTCGCTGCTGCTGGGAATTCGTGGCGACACGCAGATCGCACGTTTCGTCGAGTCCGCGAAAATTTACGGGTTCTCGATTGATTTTTATCGATTGTGTGCCCGGTGAATATGTTGTACGAGTCGGATTGTAGGACGAACAGTTTGGTCAGGTGTATGTGTTTGCTTTAGGAAGACATAGACGGGATTGCAGCCGATCAAAAAGAGACGGAGGAATACAAGGAACTCCTGAGGCTGAAGTCACTGAGGCAAGAGAGGCTGCAGCAGTGCAGAGACAATCTCGTGCAGCACATTGGCTACAGGGTATTCAATTTCCCATTATTTTCTCTCGTCCGCAACTGTTATATGGCGGCTACCCCATTTTCACTACCTTATCAATCGTCCGTCTGCACCGTAATTTAAGCCTTGTCTACATGACGAACCTTAACTCGAGTTAAGCGTCTACACGGGGCCTTAACTCGAGTTAGCGTTAACTCGAGTTAGCTTAACCTCGCCAGTCGATCGAGGTTAAGCTAACTCGAGTTAAGGCCCCGTGTAGACGCTAGACTCGAGTTAGCGAATAGTACATAACTCCACGATAGGCGGCAACACTAGTACGATGTACGTACACACGCAGGCACGCACGCACACTCATGCACGCACGCACGCACATGTACCTGCACACACACGCACGTACGCACACATGCACACACGTGTACCTGCACAAGCACGCACGCATGCACGAACGTGTACCTGCACACGCACGCACGCACGCACGTGTACGTGCACACACACGGACGCACGCACGCACGTGTACGTACACACACACGGACGCACGCACGCACGCACACGTGCACACACACGCACGCACGCACATGTACCTGCACACGCACGCACGTGTACGTGCACACACACGGACGCACGCACGCACGCACGCATGTGTAGGTACGCACGCACGCACGCACACACGTCTACGTGCACAGGCACACGCGCGCACACACACGGACGCACGCACGCATGCATGCACACACACGGACGCACGCATGCACACACACGGACGCACGCACATTTACGTGCACATGCACGCACGTGTACGTACGCACGCACGTGTACGTGCGCACGCACGCATGCACGTGTACCTGCACACACACGCACGTACGCACACATGCACACACGTGTACCTGCACAAGCACGCACAAACGTGTACCTGCACACGCACGCACGCACGTGTACGTGCACATGCACGCACGCACGCACACACGCACGCACGCACGCACGCACGTGTACGTGCACACGGACTAACGCACGTGTACGTGCACACGCACTAACGCACGTGTACGCACGCACGCACGCACGCATAATAAATCGGTAATAATCGCTATCGGGTGTTGTCGTGTAGACGCTACATAATCGCTAACTCGAGTTAAGGTTCGTCGTGTAGACGAGGCTTTAGTAATATTTTAATTCCATTCGCGCTTTCATTTGCAGTGCGACAGCTGTAGTTCTGAACCAATAACCGGCACCCGATGGCATTGCATGGACTGTCCACCAGATGTCTCCACTGACTTATGCAGGGAATGTTACACTGGGTGAGTGTGCAATCCTAAACGATAACTGCAGTACTATTATTGTAAGAAGCAAGTATATCAATATCATCATTATTGTACAGCAATTGTTGTTTCAAGGCATGAAAGTTTTGTCTAATTTACAGTGATGTGGAGTTGGACATCCATAGGTCTTCCCATAGGATGGCCCCAGTAAAGAAGTGTACAAGCATGCAGGATGGGGATTACACTGGCTTTACTCATGCCAGCTATAACTACCTGGATCCAAACTACATGCCTGCCACGTAACAGCTTCTCAGGCATCACACGGGCCATCATTAAACGGCAACGCAGCTGTGAAATTGTTACCATGATTTTTGTTGGCAAAATGTGTTCGCTTTTTGGTGGAAAAATGTGTTCAGTAGGAGACATTCTTTTGCATAAAAAATACTACCAATGAGTTTTTATTTAAGATGTGGAATATAATCGAGAGGGTGTGATTCTCATAATTTGATGTCATTGCATTTGTATTTGCATATGCTGCTATACTGTTTTAAGGGAAGGAAGAAGGAAGATCTTTTGGGAAATGTTTTAGAGAGAAATTACTTCATGGAATAAAATGAGTTAATAATTATGTAATATAAAGGCAAAAAATAGTATCACAAAATTACACGTGTACTAGAAAATATGAATGTAATTTTTTTTAAATAATTTACAGTCAATTTTTCGCATTGCAAATCTGAAGTCAGAACTGTAAAAAAATGCCCAAGTAGCCTTGAATGATTACACTAATCACTTGGGCTACTAATAGATCTGAAATGTCCGTGTTTGTGTTATGGGTTTTAGCTTGACCATTACCACCAGGGGGATAGCTGAAGAAATTGCTCCCACGAAACATCCCATACACAAAATGTGCTCAATGGAGTTGATCCACCATCAGAAACAGAAGAGGAATGCAAACCACTGTGTTATTGCTGGAATTTGTAGCAGAGGTCCATCTACCCTTGCATGTAACCACTGAAACAAACAAAAAACAACCCGAGTGACCTAGCTATCAATATCATTCGAAAGTTTATAACACGCTGACAGATGAAACTAAAGATGGACATGGAAGTTTTCAGTCAAATATTGCATTTTTATGGAACAAAAATACACTAAAAACTATTTGGTGAAACAAAATGCATTTTTGGCTACTCGCAAGTACACCATCATTCTTTATTCGTTCTTCTCACCTTTTATCTTTAAATCAGCACTACAAACAACAGGTGAGATTGGGAGGTCGAGTAGCCTACAATTTTTATCAGCTGTCAATGCTTAGCCAAAAACGACTGCGCATACGTTTATGTGTGCGCCGAATTCATTTCCCCTCAAATTACTTCGTACCGACCTGCGCCCAAACCCCTTGGGTCAAAAAACCGCAAGAAAGAAATCGGTCACTCTATAACCACCGGGGCGCCGCGGCACGCGCGCGCACACTTACGGCAGCTTCATGCGCATGAACACGCGGCACATGAAGAAGGAGACGAGCACAAAGAGGAAGCCCATGAAGAGCAGGAGAATGCGGTTCAGCTTGGGCGTGTTCGGCTTGTTCGTCTGGTCGAGGATGACAAAGCCAAGTCCGCCCATCGTGAAGAGGAAGCTCGAGGCGAGCCCCTCCATGATGTACTGGCCATTTATTCGGTACGGCATGAAGGCCACCTGCGAATGTGTGAGGTCAAAGGTCATAGCTATGCACACGGTCGATGGTCACGGTCACGTGTGAGGTCAAAGGTCACGACTACGGGCCACGCAGGAGCGGTGAACACTCGGGAATGGTAATTACATACAAGTTCTAAGAAAGGTAGAATAGTTCAGTGCGGCACGGCGATTATCTGTCACAGGCATTATACCATTTTGTTTTTTTTAACCGATCAACGTTTCAGTAACATATGTCAATCGTGTCACTATTTTCGATAGAACTAATGTTTAATAAAAGACTAGCTGTTAGAATGAGGCAACATGTGAAATTCAAGAAAGAGCTGGGCCTGGCATCTGTGCAAAATACGTACTGGTCTGGAATGACCACTTTCATCAGTAGTGGAACCGATGCTGGGTGGTTCATTAATTACATCGTAAATGATTCCTGAAAAAATAATTGTAACGTATTTAAATGCAATGTGATATGTAGCATGCATGGTCTCAGACTGAGAGAGAGGGTATGATAAATTTTTTGGGGCAATCCCCAGTAGAGAGCACAGCCACAGGCATAGCTCTAGTACTATAGCCCGCTTACATTAACTGCCGCTGGGCTATAGAACAAGCCATTAGGGATGCGCGAGACCAACTTAAGCACGCTTATACCCGCCTATAAAACGTCTGTGGTAGGCAATTAATGCCTCTTATCCGAAGTGAATATGTCTTAAGTTATATCAGCTACTAAAATTTAACCTCTAACTATCGTTGCAATGGTATACTTGCAGTATTTCTTGTAAACAAACATTCGATTTGCGAACTTCAAATGGCCATTTCTGGCGGCGCTGCAGCAGCGCCAGTCAGCGGGAACTATGTATTTCCGCACAGTTTGTCAGCATAGTCGGGAACAATGCCAATGTGGCAATGGCAAAAGTACTAAAGAGAACATTTAGTGCCAGTCTATTTGCAAACATGTCGACGTGGCGTGTACTTTCCGCACACGTTAACAATGTTGTCTAGCATCCAAATAATTATTAACAAATACAAATATAGACGCACATCCGTAATTCGACAATATAATATCTTTCAAATTTAACCGTCAAAGTTTTAACCCAAATCGAACTGCATGGACAACTGCAAACGCTAAAAAAGTTACCGCCACCGGCAACGGTAAGACGTTGCGATATTTTAGTAAACTAACT